ACACGTGCGCGTTGAGCGCCATCTTCGATTTGAGCTTGCCAAACTCAATGCGCCACGCCGAATCCCTGCGCAGTTCGCCCTGCAACACATGAGTTCATCCATTACGCTCCCGCGAACTCTGTGGTTTCTCAAACTGGTTAGTCTACAAACACAGAAGCTAAGGGCCATAGCTTGAGCTCAGCTCATGGCTCGCCGGCTTTCCAGGCTACTGTCGAGAAGCGCGGAGTTCACTACGTTGCGAAGCGTCAGTTTCCTTTTGATCACAAGCGTCCACGGCGTCTGGGCAATCTTGCCGAAGTGGCACATCAAACTTTCACGTGTTCTCGGAATTTGGGTATCCCAGCCACCTCACAAGATATTGGGCTTGACCCTGTCGACGACGTCGACCTACAAGGCGTTCCACGTGGTAGTGGACGCTACCATTCTCATCGAGATGAGTCGGTGGCGACCCTGACCCAGTGTGTGTATACCGTAGACGATAACGCATAGCTATTTACCCTTGTCAACGGTATGACGGTAGAGGAAGACGGTATCGTCACAATCGAGGCTTTTCCCGCGGTGGATGCTTTTCTTTAGCTGGACGCGATATTCTTCGAAGGGTTTAGCGGTGCCTTGAACGCAGGCAATATGACCGAGGGGGTCATTAAAAGACCGAACGAGGAGATTAACTCGTCATCGCTTTTGGATAAAGCTATCCTGGAGGACACTAAAAGGGTGCTGAATGTACGAAGTGATTGTCGATCCAGAACGATCCTTCGGATTCGTAGTATCCTTTGGTAAAGGAGTGTCAAGACGTCGTCTCCAAAGACCCACCATCGGTCCTACCTCCGGACCAAGGTGTGCGTCATGAGATTGACCTGGTTCCCGGATCCATATACTGCGTCACACTGCGTAAAGAGCAGTGTGACGTCAGTGACGCCTTTGTTTAGGCTCCATCGGGCGTATGCACAGACATAATTCGACGACATTTTCGACCACAGTCGTGCATGGCACGTAAGGACAGATGTGGAAAACCACATCGTCCATTTGAAAACAGTGCTCGAGTGCATGCGCAGAATAAGCTGTATGCTAATGTCGATAAGTATGTCTTTGGCTCGGAAAGAATTCCCTTTTGGGGGTGCATCCTTGGGAAATCGTGGCCTTCGAGTGGATCCCGCTAAGACCAAAGCCATTTTGAACAGGCCGGCTCCAACGAACGAAAAGGACTTACGCAAGTGGCTTGGTATCGCCAACTACTTGCACAAATATAGCGCATTTTATGCGGAAGTGTTATGGCCATTGTCTGATACCCTTAGAAAGGTTACAGAATGGTGTTGGGACACAGAGTATCGGAAGGCTTTATTCAAGGTCAAAGACAGGCTCCTGCATGCACCAATTTCGGAGCTGCCAAACCAATCTTCCTATTGTGTCGTCTGTGACGCTTCGGACTTTGCCATCGGCTGTGCATTGCTACAAGCAGACGCCGAGGACGAGATTGGTGATTACGTTCGATTCCCGCCAGATTAAGGCTGCGAAGAGGAACTTTCCAGTCCACGACAAGATATTTCTTGCGATGAAGTATGCACATGTCAAGTTCGGGTGCACCACCTGCTCGGCTCAAAGCCGTTTGTGATGTACACAGATCATGCATCACTACGCACTGCTACAGTCGCCTCAGCTCTCTCAGGAGTGGGCAGCTGGCTCTCATTCTTTGCAGAATATAACTTCGAGGCGAAGCATAAGCCAGGAAAGACGAATGCTTTGGCTGATGCATTGTCACGCAGACTGGACTACGAGCTCGGTCATGTCACGATGGTGACGTCGTCCGTGACGCATTTGATCCGCGATAAATACGTGGGTGACAGAATTGTGTACCGCTGCTACGGGCTCTCGGGAGCAAGGAGTTTGGAAACCTGGACAAGAAATTGCGGAGCGTTTTCGCGCACGGTTACACCGATATTCGTTGAGAAACGGGTCGCTTTATTATAGCACCAGTTCAACGGATACGCCACGAATTATGTCTCCCCACGATGAGAATTTAAGATATCGTATTCTCTGTGAGGACCACGACATTCCACTTAGTAGTCATCCCGGTCGTGAGAAATCGTCCCTCTCGGTAAGTTGCCACTATTGGTGGCCCAAGCTGTACAAGTGGACAAGAACATTTGTGCGCACCTGTGAGACGTGTCAGAGGGTAAAAGCCTTTCCGAATGCGGCAGCGCCGCTGGCCAGATTACCGGTACCCGCCGGGCGTTAGCAGTCCATGAGTATGGACTTTGTGTTTGGCCAGCCGAAGGACTCGGCAGATAACATTGGTAAGTGGTCTTTGTGAACCACTTGAGCAAGATGGCTCATCTTGTGGCAGTACCGGATACTATCGACGGCATAGGTACAGCAAGGCTATATTTTGATTGTGGCTTTCGACAACATCGATTTCCGGAGTCAATCGGATCCGATAGAGACCAATTTTTTGCAGAAAAGGTTTGGTCGACAATTTTCAGAATGCTGGGCACCAAGTTGAATATGTCAACAGCGAACCATCCGCAGACCGATGGTCAAACCGAGCGCGTGTATCGCGTCGTTGAAAACGGTTTTCGTAGCGTCTGCGCTGAGATGCCGAAGCGAGGGGGCGATATGCTGCCACTTGTAGATTTTGCTCTGAACTATGCAGTGCATGCATCTACCGGCTTACACGCCGTCTACGTGAGCGAGTTTGTTAATCTTGGCGTCCCGCTGCCATCCCATGGCTCAGGGCTTGGTGGGGAGGAATAGCCGAACGGCTAGCTGATGTCAGCCTCCTCACTGTCCGTAATGAAGTCGATGACTTCCTGTCTACCGGACCGAGTATCTTATGACACATGCGCTGTGCGATGGCTAAAAGCCAAGGCATGCATAACAAATTTGCAGTTGTAAGAATCAAAGATCGGAGAAGTGGCTTTATTAAACGCAAAACACCTATTACACATGCAATTTCTGCTGTCTTAAAGACAAAGCATCGTCCACGATTTATCTAACTTTTTAAGGTCATGGTCAAGCAAGGCCTTGCGTATACGCTAGACCTTCCGAGAAGAACGCGCAGCCACCCGGTGTTTAATGTAGGCTTGCTTAAGCCGAATCGGAATCCGGCATAACTAAATGCGGAAGCTTTGGCGCCGAGGCGGCGCTTAAAGACACTCGATCACACAGAAGTTGAGTCAGCAACTGGTTCTGAGAAAGGAGTGCACAACTTCCGTTTGCAACGGCGCAAGGCGCTCCACCGTCGCACGAAGTGACTCTTTTGCCTGCTCAACGGCACGGACCCACTCCGACAGAGCGCGATAGACCTCAGTAGGAACACAAGGATAATGGTGGTGTCCTCTATCACGTGGAAGGCTTCGTAGGTCGAAGTCGTCGACAGGGTCAAACCCAATATCTTGTGAGGTGGCGGGGATACCCAATTCCGAGAACACGTGAAAGTTCAATGTGCCACTCCGGCAAGATTTCCCAGACGCCGTGGACGCTTGTGATCAGAAGGAAACTGACGCTTTGCATCGTTGTGAACTCTGCGCTTCTCGACAGTAGCCTGGAAAGCCGGCGAGTAAGAGCTGAACTCAATCTATGGCCCTTAGCTGCTCTGTTTGTAGACTAACCAGTGTGAGAAACCACAGAGCTCGCGGGAGCGTAATGGATGAATTCATGTGTCGCAGGGCAAACTACGCAGGAATTCGGCGTGGCGCATAGTGTCTGGCAAGCTCAAATCGAAGATGGCGGTCAACGCGCACGTGCACTTCCTTGTGGCTTTGCCGTCAGGTAGACAGCGAGAAAAGTTTCCGGTGCCGCTGCA